CCATAATTCAGACAACACTCATGTTTGGCTGGAAAACCTGATTAATGAAAGCCAAGGAATTTGAGAAACCACTATTTGCCCAAACGTTCGCTGCTTGACCGTCAAATTTACACAGCATTTCGTGGGAGATGAAAAAGTTTCCAAAGTTGCTGTCACCAGTGGTATGGCCATACCCTCCAACAGTCGGCAATCGAACTTTTATCTGGCTGCCTTTACTCAGCATATTGCGCAGGCTGGGGCTTCCTCTCTGGTGATCAACTGGAAACATAGGTTGGCGGCTTCAAATACGTCGTAGAGCCTCAGACCAGTCTACGGCTGGAGCGTATGAAACCGAAAGCAATCTGTATGGATCTCGTCACTAACCTCCGATCAGATATCTACGGTAGCAACTCCGCTAAATGTAAAAGACTCCCCTTGTAAGTAAATTTACCCTACGGAAGGAGAACCGAACTGACAGCTGTAACATACACCCGACCCCTTATGTCGTAGCGGTGCCACATATGCTTCAAGTTAGTGAGCGCCAGCCAAACCTTCTATATGGGTATCTAAACTGCATTCGAGATTCGTTCACCACAGAAGGTGAAGATGCTAAAGCAGCAAAATTATCAATCATCTCTGTTGGAGGGAAAATAGGTTCTGAACCTACCTAATCTTGGTAAATCAGTTTGATATTAATTCACACCTTTTCGAGCCCAGTCAGCCTAATTCCTGATCATGCATTTGATCGTCCCTGCGCCACACGACAGACAGCGGTACTTGTTTGGCGATTTCTCTTCAGTTTTTCTTCGTTCACCTGAGCTTTGTTTCTTATCTCGTTTTGATGCGAGAAAGATTCGTCAAGTTTTGCCTTCTCTGAATGTACACAAACCACCTGGTTCAGAAGATATACCCCTGATGGGCCTTAATAGGTGATCCACTTTCACTCCTTCCGCACCATCTTTTGACCTCTCCAATAACATAGGAACATGCTACGGATATTCCAAGTCCCAGATGTGATAGCTTCTTCAACAATGACTGCACGGTAACCCAGATAGTATATACTCGGACAGCGCTTGATTCTCGAAAAAATACCACTGAACGACCACAAATACGCGGCTTCCAACTTTGCTTGTCCGTCGCTGACCGGCTGATGCTTGGTCGACTGCGCTCAACTTCAGAGAAACACACAAGATCCCTTACTGGAATTGAGCATGTTCGAGTTTCGTCCAGTTCACGTACTATGAAGATCAAGTCTTCTCGATAGGTATACAATCAACATACGAGTTTGAGGTTTTATCCGAGCCCTTCTATGCGCTCACCAAAAGTTCTGTACTAGAATCCAACCTCCCTTCTTTATTGAAAGCCAGGGGAAAATCCACTGCGATCAGATGCATTAGGAGTAGGATACAGTAAATGTTCATTTCGCATTTGACTCACAATTACTTGTGAGTAGTAGTGTGGGATAATTGATTATTGATTTGAGCTGACTATCCTTCGAGCTTCACTTTCAATAAGAGCGAAACTCGACTCTAGTGCTTCCGAGTATATGGTTGAATCGATGAACTGAGGATTGTGCGTGAAGGTGAAGCCCAAAGGATAGTCAGCTCAAATCAATAACGTTCATTTGTTCGAATATTGCATGACATGGTAAACACAGGAACCTTCATCAACTGATTTCACCTAGCGAACCCTCACAATGCGGATGCAAAGTCGGTAGACAAGATATAAATTAAACGAGGTGGGATTTAAATCGTACTGGACTGAATACGACTTATGCATCTGATGCATTATTTATCTGAACGGTAGTCAGGTTTGTACCCTTGGACAACCCGAACATCAGTTACCAACAGTCAGGCAAGCAGACTACGAGAAAAAAAGCAGTCAGTGGGTTCATATTACGATGCGGTCTTCGCGATAAGATCATAGACAGTGGATGGAGAATATCGGTGAAAAACGAAAAACACAAGTGGTCTCAATGGTTATCGGCGCTGGTTCGGTTGTTTGTACAGTATGGGAAAAAGGTCACAGAAGGCAGATCCGATCACGGAACGGTTTGGTTATGTGCACGTGGACAGACCAAGAAGAAGAAGATAAGGAAAACGGCGCTTGAGAGCCGGAGTCAAAAGCAGAGACAAAGAGAATGAGTGAGAAAGAGAAAAATAAACAAATAAACGGTGAAACAACGTTGAAACGGCTACAAGAGTGAATAAGTTATTCATCCTGAAGGTGAGTGTGATGAAATGCGAATTATTGGTGTAAAATACGTGGCGCCGGAAATGGTTTCATCGTTCGATGAGTGAGAAAATGGGTGATTGAACGGAGCACATGATAATTGGATGAGGGACAGAAGCTGCACGAGTCTGATTTTATGCAATGCTATGGGAACTCGATCCCGTGGACAAATGTCATTGTGGCGGATTGGATGAGGGTACGGGATAACGCATGCCTGGTATGTGCCCATCCGTGCCTGGGTATGTCATGGTCGAAAGTCCGTGGGACTGCATGGCTGATAAGGCAGCCTGAAACGCTTCGGAGGCGA